TCTGTTACCTAAATATTCTAAAGGAAAGAATCACAGGCACACTAGTTTGTTGGAAATGATCGATACACATATTTAATGACCCCTAGTCTGTTACCTAAATATTCTAATAGAATGAATCATAAAGTCACACTAGTTTGTTGGAAATTATCAATGCGCATAATTAATGACCCCTAGTCTGTTACCTAAATATTCTAAAGGAAAGAATCACAGGCACACTAGTTTGTTGGAAATTATCAATGCACATAATTAATGACCCCAAAGCATGTTACTTAAATATTCTAAAGGAATGAATCATAAAGTCACACTAGTTTGTTGGAAATGATCAATGCGCATAATTAATGACCCCTAGTCTGTTACCTAAATATTCTAAAGGAAAGAATCACAGGCACACTAGTTTGTTGGAAATGATCGATACACATATTTAATGACCCCTAGTCTGTTACCTAAATATTCTAATAGAATGAATCATAAAGTCACACTAGTTTGTTGGAAATTATCAATGCACATAATTAATGACCCCCTAGCCTGTTACGTAATATTCTAAAAGAATGAATCACAGACATACAAGTTTGTTGGAAATTATCAATGCGCATAATTAATGACCCCAAAGCATGTTACTTAAATATTCTAAAGGAATGAATCAAAAAGTCACACTAGTTTGTTGGAAATGATCAATGCGCATAATTAATGACCCCTAGTCTGTTACCTAAATATTCTAAAGGAATGAATCACAGACACATGAGTTTGTTGGAAATGATCAATGCACATAATTAATGACCCCCTAGCCTGTCACCTAAATATTCTAAAGGAATGAATCATAAAGTCGCACTAGTTTGTTGGAAATGATCAATGCGCATAATTAATGACCCCTAGTCTGTTACCTAAATATTCTAAAGAAAAGAATCACAAAGTCGCACTAGTTTGTTGGAAATGATCAATGCACATAATTAATGACCCCCTAGCCTGTTACCTAAATATTCTAAAGGAAAGAATCACAGGCACCCTAGTTTGTTGGAAATAATCAATGTACATATTTAATGACCCCTAGTCTGTTACCTAAATATTCTAAAGGAAAGAATCACAGGCACACTAGTTTGTTGGAAATTATCAATTCAACTATTGTTTTAACCATACATAAGCAATACAGACAAACCAACAGTTCAATGTCAGAGGAAGCGTTAAGAGAACATCATAGACAAATGAAAGTAAACAATTCCTACTATTAAAACAGGTTTTTAATTTTAACATGAATCATAAGTAATTAATAATTTCATTTACATTTTCAATATGAACAAAAATATACACATTATCACACTGTACAATTCAGTTTCAGATATTTTTACAGAAACAATATTAACAAATATGCTTTGTTGTGTACAGCAGTAATTGTTCTTGTAAAAAAAAAATGTCAGCAGTCTCATACTTTTTACAATAAAGATGGACGGAAAGCAGGTAATAATACACTTATAATATAGCAAATAAAATCAAAGTTCACAAATTACTCACTGCAAGCTTTTATATAATATTCATGGAAAGATAATTGAGACTTAAATCTGTAAACCATCTATAAAACATTTCAATAATCACTTGACTGGTGCAATGCAAGAGGAATGAGTTAATCCTAAATCAGGGTGTAAATACTAATTCATCAATCTGCTGGGGATTAATTTACGATTTGAATGAATTCGTAATTGAAATGACACTCCAGATGATATATATATATATATCATACATATACATATACAATAATTTATGTCAGATTAAACATCTGTGTATACAGCTCAATTTTCTGGTCAGAGCTTTTACTGTAAGACACTAGTCAGCCATTTGAAGACATCGCTATTATTCTTCATCCAGTCACCATTGCTAGGATCAAACAACTGCTCCAGATTGTGAATGTTGGCCAAGATGACAGGAAAAGGAATCTGAAATGACCATAACATTGATAAGTAGCGATAACAGCAACAATATTTATAGCACCCCCAGGTAATGGCACAATCAAACCTGTAATTAGTGATTGTTTCACTAAGATAAACAAAAAGTGTTCAACTGATCATGAATATCTTTTGAGGGATTATGTTGCACCCAATGGAAAACAAGACTATTTTCAATCGAGAAAGGCGACGAATTCGTCACTCTGTCAATTATGTCTGGTTATAGAAATGCCTGATATAGGACATGTGGGAATATTTACCTCTTCAGAAAGTTGTTCATCTGATTTATACTCCAAGAGAGTGTAAATATCACTGATACACTGCTTCAACAGTGCCTGTGAAGAAATAAATAACATATCACAGTTATAGATGGACACTCATGTGCTAAAACTAATTCAGATTAATAGAGTAATTCCAATGCCAATGCAGATAAGACGTGTATAAGAAAAGTCAAAATTTTAGTTTCAGTTTTAATTTGCAGTATTTTGTACAGTATTTTGATGACTAGGTATATAATTTCAAATTACACACAACCAATATATTTCAAAGTTTGAGATTAGATTGAAAAGTGAAATAATAAGATTGCTTGAACCCAGTTTCATAAAAGAGATTTTTGGAGGTTTTTAAATAGTTTATGTTTAGGGACTTTCACTGTATTTTATTCTCCGGAGTGCCAAAGAAATTTGATCTTTGTATTAACTGCACTTTCACTTTCACTTATAAAATATTATTGATATATCTAAGTGTAAAGGTCTAAAAATAATGTGTGTATGTGCGAAAAAAACTGAACTGTGAAGTATCCAATGCAATGTGAAATTTGTTCTTACCTCTAAGTTCTCATCTCTCTTGACCTTTGCAGACAGCTGAGTGATACGAGTCGTTCTTTTGGATTTCCTGCTAGATGGTTTCCCAGAAGTAGGCGTCTGTGGTGTGGATGGAGGTTTTGGCTGTTCTGCTAATGATATCTCAGCCTTCTGTCGTACCACTGCAAGTTTGTCATGGAGCTCAGCAAGTTCGGGAAAGGTCAACCACATTTTTCCTGTGTTGGTGATTGGAGGGGGCTGACTAGTAGCCGAGGATTTCTGTCTTTTCTCTTGTTTGTTCAAAGCAAAGATGAACAATACGCCATTCATGACACTGGCTGGGCCACTTTCAAATGATGGCTGATACCATTGAATTGATATCTCGTTTTCTGCGCTACTGATCACTGATTTTTCTAAGGTTTCTTTGGCCATGATGGCATCACTAACAACCTTCTTCTTGGGACTGCTGGGAACAGATGCCTGTGTTGACGCCGCTGCTGGTAGATCTTCATCTTCAATCTCCTGCGGGATGTACATGTTCTCTTCATATTTTATAACTGGTATGTTCAATTCAGTTGCCGAACCTTGTGGCTTCAACTGCAGTGCACTCGGTGGAGTGATGGCAACGCAGTCACTAGCATACAGAGACAAGTTGGTTGCTAAGAACTGGTGCAGGATAGTTTGACGCAAAGCCATATTTCCACACATCAGAGGAAGGCGAATGATATCATGATTGGTGCAGGCATCTTTCCCGGAGCTGTAGTAACCTAGTTCAAACCCAGTACCAAGGCTGACTGCACCACCATTCTGCAAGGTATCTGCTGCAATCCCAAGGGTTGAAGTGTTACAAAGACGTTGTAAAATAGAGCTGTAGCCCAAGAGATGTATCCAGGTGATATCAGAGCCAGCTCTGAGTGCCTTGATCACATCATCTTCTCCAGACTCCACAGAATCAGTCTCACTGGCTTGATGTACTTCTTCAACTGGCTCAAGACCTTTAGGATGAGGTTCTGCTAAAAAAAAATCAAAAAAAAAACTTACCGGTAGCACTTTTCTGTGAATTAAGGATATTAAAGACATTCAGTAGAAATAGGAAGTATACAAAGTTTTATTTGATGTGGTTATGTGGTTCTTGATTTATTAGGAAGTCACATTCTATTTACGCAAATTAAGGAATTAATATGCAACGGTTTCATTTCTAAACCATTTAAGTTTGTTGCCCCCAGAAAATCTATGTACCAAGTTTCACTTAAATCTGATGAGTGGAACAGCTAAAATTTGGCTGATTATTAAGCAAAATTTAATATTTAATATGTTAACAAGCAGCCTCTCGGCTGAGACAGATTCGCTGTTGGCAATGCATGTTTCCATTAAAGAACTGAAGATATCATTAGAAAAAAAAAAAATCTGAGAGAGGTATACCTAAGGTACCTATATGTATAGTATCAAAGCAATCGGACTTGCTTTTTTCAACAAGAATCCAAAAATATCACTTTTTACCAAAAATTACAAAAATATTCATAAATTGTAGATAATTGAAGATATCATCACGAAATGAACAAATCTAAGAGAGGTCTACCTGAGTGTATACCAGGTAGTATCGAAGCATTCAGACTTGTGGTTCTCAACAAGAATTTGAAAATATCACTTTTTACCAAAATTGACAAAAATATTCATAAATTGTAGATAATTGAAGATATCATCACGAAATGAACAAATCTAAGAGAGGTCTACCTGAGTGTATACCAGGTAGTATCGAAGCATTCAGACTTGTGGTTCTCAACAAGAATTTGAAAATATCCCTTTTTACCAAAAATGACAAAAATATTCATGAATAATAAGCTAAAAATAGTTTATGTCAGACACCAAACATTCCTCCTCATATACCTTTTCTATTAAAGTGAATCTATCTCAAAAGAAGGCATATACGCACCAAAAAATCAATGCCAACAATTCCACAAATTAATAGGCTTTCATGCATGAGCTTTTAATAGAGCACAAAAAACTATTCAGATTATGTTTTGTATGAGCATTAGAAAAGACTTTAAGTAGGCTGGTTAATAAATTTATTAGCAGTTTTTTGGAATATATAATAGCAGTGGAAGAGATATAAAAAGCATGATGTGTTTAGTATTTACATATAGCCATGCATGTTTTTGTGAACAAAGCTATACGGTATTGAGGTTATATACATTGTATAGGTACAAACTCACTCACCTCGTTTCACTGTCTGACTTGGGTTTTCACTTATTCCGCCAAGGAGATCCATGACAAGAAACTCTGGAACACTTTCACGTACTTTACTCTTCAATCTTAGTGATGTCAGTTGAGGATCACCAATCATCAGGGACCTGGTACGTTGAGCTACTGCAGCAGCCGTGGCAGCACGAATGGCTGTCCACGCAGCTATGCGTTCCCGATTTTTCTCGCGTACAACATCTCGCTGACTTTTCTGACTTCTCACTGAGGCTTTGGTACTACCCCTGGACGCTTTGCTTGGTGTAGCAGTCTGTCAACAGAAAAGGTAATTATCATATAATCATTTATCAGACGAGATTATAACTAGGTAACAGACAAGATGTTTATTTTAGTTTTGATACTCACCTTTTTACGAGGTAGCTCTACGTCCTCCACAGCAAGGGTTGACTCACTGGTCTGTGGTCTAGCAGATAAATACACCAATGCAATCTCTAGATATGCTTGCCGAATGAGTCTGAAGGTAAGACAACATGATATAAATTAAGCCAAATCTGCATGCCAGTGACATCCCCATTGAGTTCAACTGCAGGTAGTATTTGAAATTTAGTATTCCAATCACAAGTCAGAATCAACATCCACTATGCAACCAGTGATTGGTTAATTACTTACCCTAAATCATGATTTGAATTATAACTGATGTTGATGGCCTCCAATAATGTACTAGCAACATGTCTAGGTTGATAGGACCCGCATTCAAACAGTTGGCGCTGAACTTTACCTGAGATAACATATAACAGAATATCAGTACAATTTTGTAAAAAATTAAGAGTACTTTATTTTAAATTATTGGAGTACGGTTTTATATTGGTATTGGTGACTTAGCAAAGTGATCACTTCCCATACTGACATGCCCTGATTATATAATTTGAGATTCTTAGGAATGCTCATAGAACATCATCAGCAGTATCCAAGATTTTTGTTTTGTGTCATTACAGAATTCAAGATATGATATGATATATGATAGAAGGGTAATGTATAAATCACCTAAATTCAGGAGGATTTCAGCTTCTAGACTAGGCTCTCTTCTTGTACACACTCTACACAGCTCTAGTGCTGTGCCTAAAACAGCTGCACATTCTATCCACACATCAGCTGACTTCTCTCCAAGATTCCTGTCAACAAAGACAAAATAAATAAATAAATATGATTTCTGATATTGGTTGGACTGAGGAGAAAAATATTATCAATGATCAAATGGGACAGTTTGCATCAAGGTTAATTTATTATCTTGGATGAACAATACAGTTTTGTACATATAGAGCAAAGACACATGGCTATAAAACAAATGATTCACAGTCTCTGACTTCATATTATCACTTTTATTTCAAAGTTGTCCAGTCCTGCAAAAGTATCTCACAATTGATAGGGCACAATACAAAGTTTCTGACCGAATTAAATTTAATTGGAAAAATTTGACATTTTTTAATAAGCCCCAAAACAATTACGAGAATCACTGAGAGCCAATCTTCTGTAAAAGTTACTCTAACACACACAAATTTGAATAAGTAGACTATAATGATTAGCATGCATGTAGACTTACTTTTTTAAAAGCTTGGCTTGAACTCTTGTGGCTTCTCGTGCCAATGTGTATCCAATACGCAATTTGATCTTTGCCAAATACAGTACATGTGGATGATAGATGTTGAGTAGAGGACTCACTGGAGATGAATAGTACGGACTAGCAGCTTTATGTTCTATTGTTTCTCCTAACAGCATTAGCTGTCAAAAAAAAAAACATTATTAATCTTCACCGGAACTCAACACTATACAAACAATGTGATATCTTGTATATGTAAGTGAATACATATAATTATTACAACATTGTACTTGCACATACTTAGCTATAACACACTGTTTAATACCTGCAGAGCCAAGTTTTAATATAACAGTTGATAAATCACATACTTTGTTAACCATACAAGCTCTGGGAAAATGCCCTCTATGGTGTAAGAAAACCATTATAAGGGTGCACTTATTCCACTGGTGCTACAAGGCTGAACATACATGCATGTGACATTTTGATACAATACAATTTTGAAACAGCCTAAAATCTGCGATAACACAAAGCAACAACGACATAGAAAACTAGAAAAAACATCGAAAACTGCAATAAAACAAATAGATGTGTTTTTTTTATACAAAAAGAACTATTTGGAGATGAATACAAGATCAGATTGGCCCGATTTGTTACTTACCTGTTTAAGCATGATGTTCTGAGCAAGAGAGTAATTGTTCAGTGCTTGTTTGGTCATAGGTTCTCCCTTTTCTTGCTCATAAGCACGAGCAGATAACATTTCTAAATCAGTCAGCTGGCTGACAGCAGTGCCCAGTAAAAACTGACCCAGAGTAGAGATTGTCTGTAAGTGCTTCAGCATTTCAACAACTTCCTGAAATAGAAAAAGGAATCAACTCTGTAAGTAGTATATATTTGGTAATCACTTTCAATTCTGCAAATTCGAAAAATGAAGATCGTATGCAACAATAGGTGACTGAATGATTCACATAAGCATATACGGTATACGATACAACACAACACTGCATAAAATATTTATTGTGGAGAAAACAAAACTGGGTAAAACAATTCTAACTAGGCGTGACATTCTATTTCAATTTAGGGAATTTGAATTCAGTTTTCGAAATTTGAATTCACAGTTTTAACAATTTGAATTCACAGTTTTTACAGTTTGAATTCACAGTTTTTACAGTTTGAATTCACAGTTTTTACAATTTAAATTAACAGTTTTTACAATTTGAGCTCAAAATTTTTACAATTTGCCGTGCACTATGAGGGAAAACTTTGGGGAAAGAGTTTTCAGGGCTCTTTCAACAATATTAGACTTCATATCAATAATAATAATATCCCATATTACCAAACAAAATTTCAAGATATGAAGAAATAATATCATTATAGAAATATTGTACATGACATTTTGTCAGGTGACCCAATTTTCACTTAGATATTCTAGCAGCATCAATCCATAACAATGACTATCATGAAGAAGATAGCATATACTCTCCAATCTAAACACAACACAACAATTTACAAACTTAGTATATAATCCTAGCAGTTGAAATAATTCCCCATACCAAAGCACATACAACACTAAAACATGCATCTTAGAACCACCATCATAAACATACAAATCAATGACTAAAGTTTGGATTATTTCCCTACCATTAAGACTTGTTTGACATCATCAAGTTCTCTGCCTTCCTGTAGATCTATGGAAGCACCAAGCATCAGAAACTCAGCTTGCATTTCAATATCACCGCATGCTTCAGCTTCAGACAGACCATCAACGCAATACTGACGGGCATCGGGTATCTGTAAGTCAACACTTCTCCCTGAAAAAAAGAAAATTTATTACAAGAAGTTACAATAAAAAAAAATGATTTCAGTACTTGGCTGCTGTTAATATGCTGCCATGAAGCAGAGAAGTGAGGAAAAATGTTTTTCACACAGTGATGTTAATGATATGATGAAAATACTAATACATCTATCAAGTCATCTTACCAAACAAGAAACTGAATGAATGAAATGAAATGAATCAACCTGGTGATCAAAATCCAACATACATCTTTTTGTAGCATTTTTCCCCCCAAATCAGTTGATCTTTTGTAGTCAATACAATCGTTTATTTTTTTTGCTTTGGATACAACAAACACACAAAATTTAAATGTTTGAAATTTTTATATCTTCATTTATTTGGCATTTGCCTGTGTAACTAGTGTCATCCGTAATTGGAAAATGTTGGTCCTCACTCGATGAATCCACCATTACGTAAACATGGGTATTATGCTTACATGGTTTTACAACATGTACATTGAGTGCACAGACATAAGCAATAATTTCAAATGAAATGATACTGTATAAGGATATATGTTGAGTACCACCTACCTCCGATTTGTCCCATTCCTTTTATTTCACCCATCAAACCTTTAACCAGTGCCAGTCTACAGTCCAACCAGAGTCTGGCATCAAGTCGTGATCTGCTCTGGAAATTCTGATATTGGTACTGACTAGATTTATTGGGCTGTGTTATTGTCACTAAGGATGGTGGTTCAGTTTTATTACGTGTACCACGCATGGAAGAAGGTCTGGGAAAAAAATAAAAATTTTAGTTGAGAATATATGAAACTAATTGTTGTGGTTGTGATAGTAACTATTTAACCTAACGACTGATGATTAGAGCTGGCAAATTATGTATGTTGTGCATGCTATGGTCACATGCTACTGGTTGGATGTCATATCATTCCCCTGCTTAGAACACAGACTCATCATAGATGGTAATATACAGTTGTTGCCATGACTACAAGAAGCTGTGATCCAGGATCTTACCTTGTTCTCATTTGAGACTCCCTCATTTCCTCAAAGACTGGACTGTCTTCAATAAGTTTCATAGCTGTTACGACTATGTCAGTACTCGTCTTTGATAAGTGACGTTGCCTAGCAATAGCAGCAAGTTCTAACTTACATACCACAACCAATTCTAATTCTGAAGCAGCAAGATCATTCCCACCTAGACAAAAAAGAGAGTATGAAATTTAAGGGTGATAACTGTGAAGTATACAGATCTGATGTGACAAAATACATTAATTTTATTAAGATAACAATACATGGGCATTGATAAGTTAGCAGTAACATTACGTGACAGGCATGCAAAAATCAAATGATTTGATTTTGAACATGTTCATTTTTATTATTCAATGTTGATATGCCAAGTTTCCAGAAAGAAGTATGGCAATGAGATACACTTCAGCAAAATTGATTCATCATGACATGTGTACAGCACATTATTAAGTGTAAAAATGCCTATAAATAGTTTTCTGTTTGTTGAATCCCAGGAAAAGTTTTCATGTCACAATGCCACGTGTAATGCAGGATCTTGCAGTGAATGGAAAAAGATCTATTGTAGTGGTAAAAACTGAAATCAGAAAAAAACTACTGGGCAAGTCATGTACAACTCGGGGATAATTCTGCAAGGTGATAAAATCGACATGTGACATCATTGTTTACCTTGTTCAGTGATGGTTTCACACAATCCAGCCAATGACTGCTCGGCAGTACTTAACAGGATGCCTTTAATTTTCTCCATAGTTGGTGGTATCTTTCCTCCAGTAAATATACGACTGCTATCTTCAGTCACACTAGCACTGTCTTCACTTCCAGCAGGATCCCCAGCTAAAGAGAAGTATGAAGTTATTTAAGCAGTTAGATAAGATAAATTTGGAGTCATCGCAGATTCCAATTCCAATAAAACTATGTCACTTCGCATATTACACTCACCCAGAGCTTCGTCTACAGTCTTGATGGCTGTTCTGCGTGATGCGAGGGATGGAGGGGGTTTACTTGATTTGAAAGTACTTGCACTCATTTTGCGAGTGGGTTCAGGTTGACTGTAAAATAAATAGAAAATATAAGAAATTGCATTAACATGTAGAAATGATGATGAGAGTAAACAAAAAATGCCTTAAGGTAGAAGCCTTCTCATGAATGCATATACCCCGAATTTATTAATTTTGCAATAAATTGTACTCCAAAGATATATACTAAATACAAGTTTGGTGTCACCAGCGTAATTTTTGAGAAAACTATGGATGTATTTTAGTGGATAGTGGCAATTTTTTCTTGGTTTTAAAAAGTGTTGAAAATTACAATTTTTCTTTATCATTGTTCTAAAAATAGCTATTTATGAGCAACTTTCTAAAACATCATGAGTTCCTCAAAGTAGTAAAACAGCAAATAATGTGAAATGAGACTGAAGTCTAAAAGGGGTTAACTGATTCTTAGTTGACAATAAAGTAAAAATCTGGTGTAACTTTGATAGCCAGTTATAGTGCCCTCACCAAAAAACTCGGCTCATAGAGTTAAAAAAAGAAGCTCTATGCTCAGATGCAACCTGTGAGGGACAGGTACCATGTCAGGATACTGAGAATCTTAGATTTGTTTATTTGGTAAAACACTTGAGATTTCAACAAAGTTGGCTCAGTCACGAGTTATTAGCATCTTAAAATGTATTTTATCATTGCATTCGTATCAGTGTAAAACTCACCTGGTTTCCTCTTCAAACTCTGGCATTGCGTATATGGTGTCAGCAATAGCCAGCAGTAGATGGGACTGAACCAATGACAGATGACAAGTCAGATGTGGACCAAACAGGAAAGCTAGACTTGGTGACAAACGCTTCTCTACAAGTGTTTCCAGGATCTGGTAATATAAAATACATGCCAATGTATGAGAATACTATCCAGTATGTACACATTGCATTGTGGAAGGACTGTGATTGCATTAATCTTTGCAAATTCCCATTGTATGAGGAATGCAATGAAAACATCACGAGAAATTTCAGGATACTTGCCGGACGACATTTCACAAAAGTGAGTTTCAGTCTTAAAAACCCCAGTAATATGATTTTTTCTGATATGCAAAAAAATTTAGAATTACATTGTGTGTACCATGGCTGTCCTGAATTGGCCATCAGACATTCTAAAATTTCATTGGTTATATGCTGCAACCTTGCTATAGCATGATATATGAGTACCCACAACTCAAAATAAGCACAAATTGACTATTAATTAAGCT